GACTCATACTCACATCACATGGCTATCGTTCACAGGTGACTCACATCACCTGGCTATGGCAGAATCCGATTAATAGCCTTGTCCTGCTCTAAACTTTTCAGGCAATCTGTTAGTTTCTTCTTGTAACCACTTCCTGGATCTCTCTACAGCGGGTCGTATGTGGTCGTGTCGCTAAGGAGTGTCATGATCTTATCTTCATAGTCCTTCTGGTTCAGAATAACTGTGCACCTTCCTTTGTCTGCTGGAAGAATGATGATGTTCTTGTCCTTGCTGAGGGTAGTGAGAGCCTCTCTCTTCTCTGCATCTATATGTGATTAATGACTGAAGTCAACTCTAAAAGAGAAAAGGGGCTTTAAGATARTGAGCCAAACCTGAGCGTGGTAGTATCTGAGGGTCATCCCCACCACCTCTGTGAGCTTCAACTGATCACATTCATCTGTTTTTAAAACTCTGAGCTGTCTGTCAGCAAAATATCTCACCGACCACTCGGCTGCTTMAACTGAAATGTTTTCACACATCGACAAACTGATGTCCTTGAACTTTGACCTTTACCTGTTGGTGCCAACTTTCTAAAATAGTTCAGGAGTGGGTTTTGTTGAAGCTGAATATTTGTTTTGGAGTCGACCCACTTCAACACGCTCTTATCACCGATAACCAACACAAAACTGTTGTTTCTTGTCAGCATATTGTTGTTGTTGTTGTTGTTTACACTCAGGAATGAAYCAAAACTTGTACAATATTTTTATTTGATGTTGACAGTTAATGTGTTGTTAAATGAAATATTTGTGAGCAGATCTATGGAAAAACCTGGAGCGATTGAAGCAGGTGTTTACCTACACAGCTTTGTTTACACTGAGTGCAGACCATGCACTTCAGAAAAACAAAACATGTTCAAACTGGAATGGAATGACATTATTTATATTTGATTTGAACATTCAGTTGTGTAAATTTAGTGGGTTTGTTAAACAAAACATGTGAGTTTGGAAACAACTTCTTCAGATTACAACAAATTTAACTTTTAATAGCTTCAATAAAACTGTGATTTTGGTTTCATTTTTAGAAAACTTGCCTAATTTTTCCTAAAAACTCTGATCGATGCAGCAGCTTTTATATGATGAAACAAAGTCATCCTGTCTGCAGAGAAAAGCCTCCATGTTCTCCGTCATGGCTCCTCTGAGCGCGTGGCTCCAGCAGGTGAAGAGGAGTCAGAGCCTCAGCGCCTCATTGTGTCTGAGAGCAGCGCGTCTGCTCCCTGCAGCCGCTTCATCATCAAGTTTAAATACAAAAAACACATCCCAAACGGCGCCAAAACAACGGACTGTCTGGTGTATGGTCTGCACCTGGGTGCGCGCTGCGTCAGGCYCCGGGAGCCGCGGACACGAGCCGCGCCAACATGTCCCGTTTCAAAGCGGATTTATCGGGGCTGCAACAGGCGACAGGACGGGCTGAGGACGGCAGGAGCACGCGCTGAGAGGCACGAGGTGAGGCGGCTGCGAGCCTGGTTTTTGTCAGGTTTTCAGTGAAACCGCGCGGGTGCGAGGGGCGCGGGAAGTTTTGAAGCTCCGCCGCGGCGCGCGCGGAGAGGGCGGCCGGGCTGGGATCAGAGGACAGTCCGAGCCCTCAGAACAGGTGCTCGCGGGGGGGTTGGAGCGTTTTTCTCAGTCTCACGCGCAGGTTTGGAGCTGGAGTCCAGGTGCAGCTCCCGCAGGTCTCTGCGCCAATGAAGCTGTGCGTAATTTAACAGCGAAGACGC